GTGGACATGATGCGTCAAAGTAGTGTAGATGCTAGAGCAGATAAGATGTAACAGGAGCTTTTGCTTTAAGCATTGAATATACATACCAACTACCGTCAATCGTAATGATTTATGTGAATTTCTTTGAGCATAGCTTAGCAAATAATGTAAAGCAACTTCGAGCGTGGGCGGGTTAAAAAAGGTTCTAACATGTCAAACGCCTGGATCCGGTGTAGCAGCTTTTCAATATCTTTTCTACCAAAAAGGCTCTCTTGAGTGACGTGTCACCACTAAGGGTCTCGAATATTTCCATCCAACATGTTCAACTAGCAGTATGTAGGTATATACCATGAACGTGGAGGCAGAGAGTAAGCAAGGATGGAAATGGATTGGACTGACGTGTCGAATATGTGTACAGGAGAGTGCGCAGCATTCTAAAGTACTGGTATCTTTTCTTTCCGTCTAGGAGCTTTCTGATGGTTTTGTTATCTCGTTTTTTTTACAGCCTTGTCTGTATACGGGAAGAGACAGTAGTCAGTACCTTTGAACAACCGAGATACTGGTTCATGAGGGCGTGTATATACTGGTAAATTGTATAGAAGGTTTCGTGCGGTTGTTTGTTATAGATGTACATCATTTACCCTATGTCTATTGTATCTACATCTATTGTATTTGCCATTATCATACTCTACTGTACATCAGCTTATAGAATTCCATTGACCTTTGGTATATATTCTTTATTCGACTTATCCTCTTGTATAGTTTTCTCTCTCTTTCATACATATTTACTTTGGCCGCGCAATGATAGAGCCTAATATATGATATTTCTAAAGCTTTTGTGTTTGGTTTCCTGGGGTCTAATGTCACTACTCTTTGGCAGTATCATAGGGCGCGGATCTAATCTGGAGTAAGTATCATTTCTCAATAATTTGTTATAAGGTGCGTGTTGAGTGTGTACGTGAATGAATCTGGAGAGGCGGATTTCTTGAGTCACTTTTTAGGCGTGCTATAACGGAGTGTAAAAAACGCCTTTAGAAATTGGTTTGTCTGTCTGTCCATCACACCTTTCGGTGATTTAATAGAAATGAATTTCAAATGTCAGGGAAGGAGTAAACTGGAACTGCATTGGTGTATTGAGCATGTTCATTTGTTATGATGCACTGCATCCAACATCTTTTCGAATTCGTAATATTGTATTACGTCAAAAAAATAAAAATAAAACAATTAAGTAGTCAATTGTTACCATGATGGTATACCTTAGTCACTGCAGGTAAAAAAATAATGGCCGGCCCTACATCCTTTTTCCTCTCTTGTTTTTAAAAAGAAGACTGTGGGTAGAGAGATCAATAAAGAATTTGTTTTTACAAGATTTCATGTTAGCGTTTCCAATGTCATGTTGACTTGTTTATTGCTGAAAGACAGAATCGTGTTATGAAATTTTGACGCACAAAACGGAAATACCTACTGATGCTGAGGCCACAAGAATGGAAAGAGGTGACACAGCGCACAATAACAGATAATCATTTTCTTGAAATGTTGCGATAAAAAGCATTTATGTTTGAGATATGCAGCACTTTCAGCATCCAACACACAACTCGCCCAAATTTTTGTTTCCCGTTCTATCACAATATCAAACGCTGGCACTTAAATGTCGTTATTCATTCATCGTTTACCCTTGTGGTTTCGTTTCTCTCGCTGAGCTTCTTCCAATCAAAATTACAATAAACCGTTACGCCACCACATCTACACTAGCTAGTCCCATGCGTGCTTATCGTTGTTTCAACCAAAACAATTTACAGCTCCAATAGTGCACCATTCATGTAATTATTCTCTCACCAAAGACCCTTGCCTATAACGTAGATATTCGGAGTATAGCACGCCTTCAAGTGTTTCAACGAAACTTTTTCCATCTTTTAACTTTCTTTACATAGGACGACATTCCACCTTCCAAACAAAGAGTCGACTTCAAAAACCCACATAACTCTCACAGCCTAAATGTTTTCTTAGTGTGCCAGTAACTCCTCAAAAGAACACCTTTGCAAAACCTAACGCTTACGCAACGACCCTTACTACATCAAAAAGTACTCTCAACCTACTTTGTCCTGGGGTGACTTGCAATTATTGGTCCACCAAGACGAACACAGTGACTTCTGGACCTTTTTTTCGAAGGTTTTACACGTCCAACAACTGACATCGCCAATATAACACCTAAGTTATACACTTTTTCATCCGTATTAGACGCAGACACCTCCAGTTGTTGTCACATTGCAAGAGCCACCGCTTCCGCCAACAGCATTCCGTCTCAACCTCAATCTACTCCACCATCACCACCACGGACTATCAGCAAGGCTGTCCAAACAACCTCCCCATCACCTTCCCTTACACACAGCGCCGGCGTTCAAGCGAACCTCCATCCTATCACAGAATCGCAAGACCATCATGCCCGGCGTTTACTGCAACATGCTCAGTGCATGATTTTAATTCTGAACACCATCCAACAATCCCCTTCTTCTCCGTAACTTCTTCTTCACCACCAGTACACCATAATCGATCGTTTCAAAGATCATATATCTCAATTTCTAGACACTTCTTACATCGATGGTTAATCCGATCACACTCAATTCAAACCCTTCATTCGTTAATAAATTATTCCCACGTATGATACAGAACGCCCCATTCCTGATCCACCGCGTGGTCGGAAGCGGATTTTATTCACAATAAACATGAAAACTAACACGTGTTCGATAACTTTTAAGCAGGCATCAATGGCTGTAAACTCAAAAGCAGCAGTAAAGACAACAACTGACAGAATAATAATACCAATATGTCCACCTTTTTCATTAGCATTTACTGCTGTCTTCACCTTCTGGAGTATATAACAGCTACTATTTTCATCTTTAAAATTCTTGCTTTTCATCGCAAGTACTAAGATTTTGATCAAAAAAGAAAGCGAGTACTGTTTGCATTGTTGTGGCACGTTTTGCTGCATAAAAAAAGTGGACCAATCAGAACCCAACCATAGAGCATTGTTGAACCTCAAAAAAACTCGTAAGTTCTTAACTTTTCTCTAAAGAAAAAGGTTCTAAATTCTCCATAAAAAACTTTAGTTTTTGTCTTGGCATAACTTTCAATGATGTATCTTCTAAGGATAAATTCTTTATAGATAAAACATTTATGAAAAATACTTTTTTTTTGTAATTAAAGATTTAATAGTAATTAGAAATTATAAAATAATTAATAATTATATAATGAAATATCTTTTTATGATATTAACTTTAAAGTTTATTATTTCTTAATGATGCTCATATATATCTTTATAATGGTTAAACATTTATCCGAAATTGTATATCTTTTTAAAAAGGGTCTATTATTAAAGAATAAACTTTTTTTCATAACTCTTTAAAATTGAATTTTCTTTATAATAGAAAACATAGACATAGATTGTTTATCTTTTATTAATGATAAAGATTTTATAAAGATAAAATATAATGAGAAAACTTTATTAATAAAAATACCTTTATTAAGGGTTCCTTTTGGTATAATATTTAAAAGATAAAAGTACAGATAAAGATAGTTATAACTTTCAATTAAGTATGAAGAAATCCTTTAATGAAAAATTGGATAAACTTTTATCTTTTATTATTGATTTAGAAATATATATTAAAAATAAATATAAAGATAATGCTTTATTTAAAAATAAAAAATTTATATCAAGAATCTTTGAGGGAAAGAATTCACCTTTACTAACAATTGATTTAAAGAAAGAGATAACTTTTTTATGTAATAATAATCCTGAAAACTTAAAACTTTATATTGATAAACCATTTTTATGTGATGTATCTTTTATAATAACAGGTTTTTATATAAGTAAAAATAATTGGGGTTTATCTTTTAAATGTGAAAAAATTAATGTTAAAGAAAAAGCTTTTCAAATATTTGACTTTTCATAAATAATACGTTAAAAATATAATATAATGATTAAACATTAAAATGATATAATATTTTAGGATGAAACATTTAAGGGGTAAATCTTTTATTGTTTCATATTTTTTTTTAACTTTTTAAAATAATAATATTTTTTGGGAATGGAAATGGATAATGGGAATAGGATAAAATCTTATTATTTCTTATTTCTTTTTTATATCTTTTATAGATAAAACATTTAAAAGATAAATATTAAAGGATAATTATTTTAAAGATATTTGTGAAGCTGATAGAGGGTCCCTTTAGGCTGGATGCCTAGCTGAACATATAGAAAAAACTTTTAATGATTATCTTTTATTGTTATTTATTTTCTTTTTTATATCTTTTTATTAATAAAACATTTAAATGATATATCTTATAAAAAAATAACCTTAAAATATATAATATTTAACCTTTCCTTTCCTTTTTAAAAACCTTTAGCTTTTAATCCCCGGAATAGTAATGAGGATTCTAAGTGATGGTAATCACTTGCTCCTCAATGATGTTCATATAATGGTTTACTATTATATGAGCATTGTTGAACCTCAAAAAAACTCGTAAGTTCTTAACTTATGGAGTGACTCTTTTTGTGGTTCTTTTTCTCTAGAGAAAAAGGTTCTAAATTCTCCATAAGAAGCTTTAGTTTTTGTCTTGGCAGAATTTACAATGATGTATCTTCTAAGGATATATTCTTTATAGATAAAACATTTATGAAAAATAACTTTTTTTTTGTAATTAAAGATTTAATAGTAATTAGAAATTATAAAATAATTAATAATTACATAATGAAATATCTTTTTATGATATTAACTTTAAAGTTTATTATTTCTTAATGATGCTCATATAGCGTGAGCAGCTTCCCAACCTTATCAAAATGCCCCTTCATGCTTGGTTTGCTTTCGCGTCTGCCTTCTACCTCAATCTCTATACTCTAATGACAATACCAACTACTGAACCCACCACAAATCCTCATCGTACCGAGCATTTATTCCTATAAGTGAGCTAAAACACTTGAAAAAATGAGAACAGCAAGTTACACAGCAAAAATCAGTTTTTACATGAACGAGGAGCTACGGCGTGAACCCACCACTTTGACGCAGAAGAGATTAGACGACGGTTATAACCAACTTTATGATTTTGTGCCAGGCGTTGAAAACTTGACCAAAATCAAAAAAGAACTCAAGAGACACGGCCTGCAACCGATGAACAACTCAAAACTCAAAAGCATACTGAATAGCGACCTCGACACGAATTTTGATGTGTACTTGCGTTAGGTCAAAGGCAAGGGAGTCGTCCTCACAGGATTGGCACTTTTGGTGGCACTAGCTCTGATTTTTGACTTATGCGTCTATTACTTCTCTACAAGAAAACAAGCACGTATCATAAATCCGTCAGGGAAAAACACTGTGGCTATGTTACATCATCAAGACTCCTACTCGAGCACTCGTGGAGAATGGTTTGAACTACAAAATACGCCAGAACATAAGGTTAGCCTTCTCTACGTGGAGAGGGCAAAGGGAGTGCCATGTGTTATTACACTGCCTGGTTGAAAGAGCATACCATCTAAACTCTGATTTCAACTATTCAGATACCCAAGGATAGAAAAGTCAAGCTCTAAGCACCAGCACCATCACCAAGATCAGCAGCAACGTTGGCAGATGTCAACGACGAAAAACAAACGCCAGATACCACTCGTAGAACCGAATACAGCAAGGATGACATCATTGCCTTTTTCATCGAGGGTATCCGGTATCATCTTCGCAAGGAGATGGAAGAAGCTTTGGACGCATCACCAACTGCTGCGGCCACTTTGAGTGATTTTGACAAGTTACAAAAGAAGCATAACAGCCAGAAAACTTTGCCCAAAGGCATTTTAGACACAATTCAGCAATGTGTCTTACAAAACTATCCAAAACTACAAGTGGCGGTTAATTGGTTCGCTAACCGATTGAAATCGTACAAGAGTTTCGATCATATCAATGCATACAAAGAAGAAGGCAATCAACTGTTTGAAGAAGTCTGACACTATCTTGAAATCAGCAGCTGGGATGACATTCTGGGATATCATAATACAAGCAGTGGCAGTGGCAGTGGCAGCAGCAGTGGCAACAAAGGAGACGAAGAAGGCAAAGATGGGGATGACAATGACAAGGAGGAGGAGGAGGCCATTGAAGGTGACAGTGACACAAAAACAACAAAGCTCCACGAGACCATTACCTTCAGCTTTGTGGGCGATCCTTCGTAACGAAATAGATTATGAACTATTTCTACAAACTATTCTGAGCGAACAAGATCGAGTTGGTCGCTGCCTTAATCAGCTGTCAAGGGGTTATATAGAAGACAGGTTTTATATCATGTGATTGATATTATTCAACAATTTTTTTTCTATTTTTGCCATCCATCCTACCAGTAAGTTTTATATCTTTACCAAGGGCAGATATTTATAATTTAATCTTTTTAATATTTTTTTCTAATTTATTAATATCATCATTATTTGCTTTTCTTTTTAATCTTTTTCTATCAATACTTTGAACTTTATTATATGTTTTAAAAGAATATACTTTTTTATAATTATCTAAAGACCCATTAAAATTTATAAATATCTCAAAAAATCCATTATTTTGTTTAATTTTATATTCTCTTATATTATATTTTTTCATTTCTTTAATTACTAAATTTCTTTTGATATTATGTTTAAATGATTCATCAATAAAATCTTCCATTTGAAATGTATTTTTAGATGTAGTTTAATAAAGTCTAAAAGTTTATTTTAATATATATATAAATTCAATTTTTAATTATTTTTATATTTTTAGAAACTTTTTTTATATATCATATTCTTTATATCTTTTTCTCCATTAGTATTCTTTTAAATGTAATTCTATACCATTTTTTGTTCAATTTCTTATATTAATGCTTCTTTTTAATCCACTCCAAGTACCTTCAATTCCATTTGTATGAACTTTGGTAATTGGATCTTTAAAATATTTTTTATGATTTACTGTTTTATGTTTATACCCTATATTTTTAAATTATTATAACCTTTCCAACAGTCAGTGTATATTGTTGTTCCTTTTTTAACATATTTCTTAATGATTTTATTTATACTTTCACTATTTCTAATATTAATTAGTATGAAAAAAGATTTCTTATTTTCATTTTTAATTTTATTTTTTAATCTAGATCTGTCAATGCCACCAATTACCCATGCTCCTTCAACTTTATGGCCTTTATGATATTTTCTTTTGGCAATCTTCGTTTCATATATTTCTACTATTGAATTTCTACCTCCAATTTTATCAATCTTTATATTGTTATCAATATTTTTCTAAAAATTTTATGATATTTTATAGCTATTTTATGATCAATACTTAAACTTTTAGAAATACTAGTTATTGGTGTTTTTTTTTAAAAATTCATATAAAATATGTAATTGGTAATGAATTGGTAGCTTCATTTTTGAAAATATTGTATCTTTAAATGGTGAGTATGTTTTCCTACATTTATAATAATTACAAACATATAATTTTCGCTTATAATTAAATTTAATATTATTATTTTTACATTTATCACATATATCTCTTTTTTAATATATTTATTATCTAGTAAATAATTTATTCCATCAACTTCATTATCAAAAGCTTTCTTTAATATATGGTAACTTTCTATAAACATTTCGTATTTTAAAGATATTTTCTATAAAGTTTTCAATCATCTGTTTTCAACTATTTTTATTTTTAGATAGAAAATTCAAAAAAAAATTTATAAGTAATTGAGTTTGAAATTTATATGAGACCTATAATGGATGTACTCCGCTGTCAAGTGCTACTGAAATACTGACCAATCTGATCACCTCTGGGGAAGCTGCTCGTTGTTGTGGTATCCCAACGCAGCAAGTATCATTTGACTTTAAAGCACTGGTACCGGGATTCAACTTCAAGAAACACCTTCCCTAAGATTGTCCAACCGCCATCGATGTCGCATCTATACCAGCAAATATAGATGCCTTACAAGCTGCACGTGTCTATACTTTTGAGCATTTCTCAAATCTTTTGTCTGGTAAGTTCACGAGGTTGTGTTTATTTGAGAACAGTGAGAAATAATTATATTCTTTTTAACAATTTATTTTCCAATTTTAAAAAAAAATTCCCATTCAATCACTAATTTATATTATTTTTATTTTTTTTAGATATAATGAAAACTATTAATATATAAAATTTTAGAAATTAAATTATTTTTATAAATAAATAAAAAATTGTAAATATGTATAATTTGAAGTAAATATAACAATTTATATGCTATTAATATAAAAGATAGTAAGGAATACTTGGATATAACTTTCTGGGTAATAAATATATTTTAATTTTTAATTTTTTTAATTATTTCTCAGTGCAGTTTTGTTCGCTAATCTGCTTTGCTAAAATTATATGACTATGTCTGTATATTATTGACAGGTTGCGTTGGGTCGAGTGTATGCGAAAACAAAGAAGCACCCATATTCAAAGACATCCGAGCTGCTATCGCCGAGTCTGGATATGTCACAAAGCAGGACGACTTTCTCTTCAACGGTGCGATGAACAATGGGTTGTGGGTTGTGGGAATTTGTTACTAGTGCTCACAATCTATGGACACGCAAAAGACATGATCGGGACCTTCGCATTGTGTCTACCTTGCTATTACGTACAATTTTGGCCCCAAAACGTCTGTCTGCGTTCCTTGAAAAGCGTTCGCAATATTTTGAACTGAAGAAAGCTGCCAAAGAGCAGAACAACGCACAAGCGGAAACCAAAGCATCTGTCTCCAAAAAACATGCCATTGACACTATGCATTACTACATCAAAGAACTCACATGGGCCATCGTACGAGAGAGGAGCAAAGAAGTCACCGATAAGCTATTGCTGAAAACGCAGGAGTGGAAGGCGAAGTTAATGATCTACACTTATTGATCTACTGCGTCTGTTACGATACTTGAATAGTGTCTGATGTGCCTTCTTTTCGTAAAGGTCGACAGGTTCTCAAGCTCATCTACTGGTACCAACAAAGGAACAGACTCCATTAAAAAAACGCAAAAAGTGACACGGTCGCTTCGTTCTGCTGTCCAGCAATCGAACCCCTTTAAAGTCTGCACTGCAGATGAGCAGTAAGAAGACGACGAAGCAGCAACATCGGAAGACGCTGAAACGAGTACTCGAAAGATCCGAGCGTTGGTATCAATAATCAAGAGATTACTGGACAAGGCCACGGAAGACGTCAGCGCACAGACCATCAAAGATGCTGCTTTTCAAGGGACAAACCTTGCGCATAGTGAATGTAAAGCTGCTGCTCATATTTGCAATGCTCTTAGACCGTATTACATGCCAGAGGCAAGTGATGACAATGACGACGACGATACCGATGACAAGGACAGCCTGACGATCCATCAATGTGCGCCACTTGCATACATCACCAACACAGCTGTAGCTTTGATCGGTCCTCAACAGAACCAATGGGCCACCTTCCCTTCTGTCGATGAAAAAGACCAATCCCTGCATATATCAACCGACGTTTTGTACACCCTTTTCTCGGGGGATTTCAAGATCCCAGCTGAGACACCAAAAGGGGAGATTACAAGCAAAAGGGAGGCAGTCGACTGGAGGCGCAAGCGCGATGTTTTCGGTGCATTTTTCAAGCTTCCCAAGATCCAACAAGCCATGGAATCCAAGAAATTGACTCTTGCGTACCGCGTTACGTTTGTCAATCGCCATACAGTGCGGGTGCTTGGTACTAGAACTGTCACGACTGGCGACTCTGAGCGGCGGGACAAGGAGACCGCAAAAGAAAAAGAGCAGGACAACTCCTCCGGTGATGACGACAGCAATATTGGAAGCGATGAGGGTACAAGTGTGGCTAAAGTCGCAAGCAAAGGACAAGCGTCTCGATCGAAAGGAAAAGGGCGAGCGGGAGCGGGATTGTCTGGAAAGAACAGATCAGCGAAGGCACGTAAGAAGAAAAAGCAAAAAGCGCAGCGTCGCAAGCGAAAAAGTCAAGATGAGGAACGGCGGCCAAGGAAACGACATGCAGCACAGAAGGAAGACAAGGCAGATATTGAAGAACTCAAGACTAATTTGGGGCAGAGGATCCGCAGATTGGCAAGTCGACTACCTGGCTTACTAAAAGAATGTGGGACTCTTGAAGAGAAGCGCGTCGACATTGGAAGACAGTTCCGTCGTCGGACCAAGATGAAGGAAGCTTGGGATCCTGAGCTATATCAAGAGCTTCAGGCTGCAAGAGCTGCAATCCGCCATGTAGAAGCAGACGTGCGCAAACCCGCAGGCAACTTGCTGACGCAAGGTCGCAGTTGTACGTCGCAGAAATGCATTGTATCGGCAAGGACGTGGCCAAGGGAATTGTCCCTGACGATAAGATCGAGGTATGGTCAAGTTAACTTGTTCTATACTACGCACATGGCATCGACGAGAAAGTAATTAATATGCTTGCGGTTATTTGATAATTTGTTTAGTCAACTGTCCAAAAGACCATTCTCGAATCTCTGCAAAACAACAATCCATTGGCTGTGGCTGGTATCGACCCAGGACATGTCGTCGCTGCTACTGCTGTATTAACGACTACCACTCACATCTTTAATACCATACAGCAATACACCGATGGACTAATTGCACCATTGCCACCATCTTTTGCATCGTCATCAGCAACAACGCAAGAACAAGGCATACCACAGCAATCATCAATATCGTTGCCAACTCCCTTGCCTAAACCACATACTTACACGTCGAAGAAGAAAAACTCTGCAACATTTGCAACGAAACACCAAAAACGGCGCGAGATCTTCAAAAGGAAGGGTATCGACGATGCAGATAGACGGTATAAGGAAGGTCGCACTCGTGAGCTGCGTCATAAAATATACCACAGCAAATTAGCTTCGGCTTGGCGCCTACCTGGGATCAAACCCACATTGCATTTCTTTGGTTCGTGGCGGGCCGGCAACAAAAGGTTCAAGAAGCACCAACAAGGTGCAAGCAAAAAATTAAAGCAAGAACTGGACGCACCGGAAAACAGCCATCTGTGCATCACTGACGAGTACCGGTCCAGCAAGACTTGCCCATACTGCCACGAGCCAACAACACTGCAAAAATACCGTGGCGAGGATGGAAAGTTGCGACCGGCCAACGGCGCTCTCAAGTGCACGAATCTTACGTGTCCCAGTCGCAGCCAAAGTACGTTCAATCGCGATGCAGTAGGCGGATTCAACATTGCTGTGATAGGGATGACAAAGGCTATGTCTGCAAATAGCACCCCTATCCCCCCCTTTTCCCGATCACGTGCACCCACCTACATCCTCTCACCCGCTTTTCAGCGATTCAAGACGTGACACCAGTCCTGGTGCTCAGCTGTCTCCGCGCGAAGCTGGATAAAAAAGAGTAGAAACGTCTGTATTTTTCCATGCTAATAATCGGGTCATAATTTTTCTACGGGAATCGGGCTGTATATAAATATGTACGGGGTAATGATTCATAAATTGTGATAAAAGTCAACTTGTACATCCAATAATAGTAATGGTTAAAAAGAAACGACTAAATACGTAGAGAGAAGTAGTGGAAAATATGAGATGTTATTATTTTATATGATACCACTTTGTTACTGTGTCAAAGCTCTTCCACAGAGCAGCCTTGCCAAAATATAACGTTTTCATAATCTGACATGTCAGTGCTCGACCTAGCATTCAGCGCAACCAATTAAAATTTCATGAGACCCAAAAAGAACAAAAAAATAGGCCTGTCAACCGGATTTCGCATCGTTTGATCCTTACTGCGCACCATACATTTCGTCGCGAGTGTTTGAGACTCAGGAGTTTAAAGTAGCCATGGACAAAGTATCCAGGTCTTATTTAAGTGAAGGCTGAATCAATAAGATGATGAGAGGCAAATTACCCAGCAACAGCAAGGCCAGCCTCGATGACAGCAAGAAACAAAGGTCGTGTCTCGCATACCAGAAGCAGAAGACGACGATGGATACAAGGTGAAATATGCGTGTTGTCATTTTTTACTGTGTGCAAGCTTCAATTCCCGCTTGTCATACGACGTGTCGCAGCCTTCTTGGTCCTGGCTTTCTTTTCTTTCTTCCGACTCATCTGTCAAACAAAATGTCAAATCTGCAGCAACGCCGAAAACCACAAACAGACGAGCCTACATCAAAACCTGCTTCGGATCAGGCTGAAAAAGATGATTCCAAGACGTTAAAACAGCAACAGCGATCGTCGTCTGTTTTAAGCAACATCTTGATGGGTCTGGTGTGGATCGTGATTTTGTTTTTTGGTGCCTCGTACCTAATCACGGAATCGTGGACCTGGGGCTACCGTGGAAAATGGACGAATATTAACACGTACATTCCGGTAAATATGTAGTAGACATTAGGACATTCTTCTCATAGCGTCGAATGTTCTTCCCCAACACGGTCGTCTCTCTAGTCTAGTTACAGTTGAATAGGAGATCGAGATGAATTGTAATTCGTGCATATAACTTACTGTTGTTTCATATAGAGAAAAGAACTTGTGTTTAGTGAAGAGCAACTTGCACGCTATGATGGCAGTAACCCAAACTTACCTATTTACCTTGCTGTGGAGTATGTTCATGCATATCCGATATGCTACGAGGCTGGAAATATTTTACTATGCATGGACGCTAACTGATGTCATTGTTATACCACACCTTTTTTACCTACTAGCGGCGATGTGTTTGACGTATCGGCCGGTCTTGGATGGTATGGTTATGGAGGAAGCTACAATCATTTTGCAGGGAGAGATGCAGCTCGAGCGTATGTGACCGGCTGCTTTAAGGAACACTTAACGCATGACCTTCGTGGCTTTTCAGAGGCACAACTCAAGGTACTGTTATTTTAGAGTGAATAGTAAAACAAACCACACCGCAAAACACCACCACCCCCACCTCCCAAAGACGCACACACACAGAAGGATACAAGTGGAAAGAATAAAGAAAAGGAGTGGAGGCGTATCAGAAGATATGTTGCTATGCTAACTGGTAAACATGCTTCTTAAATCCCAAAATCAGGGTGTCCAAGGCTGGAAAAGCTTCTATGAAAATCATCATACCTATTACAAGGTCGGAAGGGTCTTGCACGCTCCCATTGATCCTGACACACCTATACCACCACCCTGCAAACAGAACACTCCACAAAAACCATAAATAAAAGAATAACCTGTGATTTCATCTTAAAGAAGCGTGATCTTTGCCTATGACGTGCAGCATCGTTACACAAAAAAAAAGAGGCTGCTGCCTCTCTCTATATAGTTCAGCCTTTCTACCCCGCCGCCACAAAGCAGCACAGAGAGCGCAATCATAAGCTCCTGCGTGCACGCTTCTCTTTTTTTTTTCCCTCTTTGCGGTAACCTCTCCCTTTGAGCTTCTGTCTAAAATCCCTACTTCTAGACAGGAGCCCAAATTTACACAACAACAACAACAACAACACTACAAAGCAGCAAATACAGCAGCAAAAACAGCGATATATATTCCTCTTTCCTTATCTTTCTTTCTTTCTCTTTTCCTCTTTTTTCTTTATATGAACCAAGTCTTTTCTTTTTATCACTAAATCAAAACATGTCGGAATTGGCTATAAACACGGCCGGTGGACTCATTGGTACTGGTGCCACCACCACAAAGAACGAAGTAGCAACAGCTGCAACAACTCCCACAACGACAACTACGATTAAGCAACAGCAAGATGATTACAACGGAGGCGATAGGGCCGTCATTCAACTTTTGAGTAAATTGGACGAGGTACGGTACTTTATAGGGTTTCACAATATTGTCTGTACACACAGAATACCTACAACTATTTTAGACGAGTTCTGGGTCGATGCAGGTTTAATAGTAGCAATATTAATAGCGAAATATCTGTAACATGTGTACTCTGTCTTGTGATATATAAAATAAGGGCACACAAACGATTGCCAACTTACGTTCCATCTTGACGCTCAAAACAGCAGAACTGAATGAACTGGTGGCGCAATTGGAATTAGCTAACCAAGCTATTATCAATGTCGATACGACGACGACGCAGATCGAGACCATGTTGAAGGATATGGGTCTGTCAGGCGAACGGAACGAGTCCGTGTTGATGCATGCAGAAGCCACGTTGGATTCGGCTATAAAATCCGCAAGTTGTTTGTATGATACACCATCAGCAGCAGCGACTCCAAAGCGACCACAGCAACGACGGCCTTCTATGGCTAGTAGCAATGACTCAACGGAACAGCGTCGTATGGTAAGTAAAAACCCTTCTCTTTTGTTTATCTTTATTTGCTTTGGGGTTTGGGGTCACATCATCCCTCTCACGCCACATGACCTAATATCTCTGTTGCTGATAACAACTACAATACCTGCATAGTCGGCAAGATTTACAACACGGATTCGATATAAGCCGGATACTAAGTATATTCTTCGTCAACTTAATGAATTACTGCGAGATCTGGAATTGGACTCTGCGAAATTCTTTGAAGGCATCGGAACGACTGGTATTGTACAGCTTCTTTAAAGAAGGAGGAGTGAGAGTGTTGGATGAAAAGAAGGGATAAAGAGAGAGAGAGAGAGAGAGAAGAAGAAGAACGAAAGGGATTAGTAGGCACACACATGTGTGTCGGGATGCGTGTTCTGAGTGATCCCGTGACATATGGTATTTGCAATAGATGATGTTCAAGCTTTGCAAAAGGCCAAGGTGGATCTCGATATAGCAAGGACCATTGCGCTGTCGGCAAAGAGCAATATGAAGCGCCGGACGATTTTACTTCGAAGTGCCAGCAGAAGACGTAATGCACCAGAGGAAATCAAAATGGTAAGCTTGAACCTCTCCCCATCACGGGAAAAGAAAGTTTTATGTTGTCCCCCTTCTCCTGTCTTTATCTCTCTTTATATCTGCTTGTCTGCATCTCATACTCTCCCCCTCCCCCTCCCCTTGAAAATATGTCGTTGTTCTGGATAGAAAGCTAAATGCTAACCTTCTTTTGTGGGGGTCGGGATGTTAGCTTGGGAATAAGATTAGGGAAAGCGTCGCCCAGTGGAAGCAATATGCAAGAGGTGCGCCGATGATTGTGGATGGAAAGGACATTATTGAGACCTTGGATCGCGAGGATGCTCTGATCGCTCAAAACGTGAGTTTTCTCCTTCTTCTACCTCTTTGCCCCATACATGTGCAATGACCTATTAACTCAACTTGATACGTGACAAATTAGCTTCCCGTTCACCCATCACGCATGTCTTTCGATGGCTATGCTTCTACCAAGGGCTCGCCCACACCTTCTTCGTCCAGCACGACACGAGCTTCGATGCGCAACAGTTTGTCGACGCGCACCACTGACTCTCGACCCACCCATAGCCGTACATCATCACTCCATGCAGGAACACCTACTACTGAATCCGCTATACCCGTCCCATCGTTTCAGCAACAACTACCGCCTGTGCCACCTATTCCACCTTCTGCAGCATCTGCTGCTGCCGCTGCTGCAAAGAAAATCCACCGCCACTCTGCAGCTGCGCGCGCATCCATGAGGGCCAGCTCGGGCGCAACGCGTGTACGCACGTCCTCCTTAACCTCACACAAGGCAACAAAGGAAAAACCAGTCAGATCCAGTATGAGCGCTATTCCTGCACCGCCTTCCTCCCTCTCTTCCTCAACTACCGCAGCAGCAGCAGCAGCAGTGACGACGACGACACCGCCACAGTCTCCGTCAATGACTGCTGCTTCTTCAACGACAAAGACAAACTCATCCGCCAAAGGTTCTCAGCAGCGTGGTCCAGGTTCAACTTTGCGAATCAGAAGTATGCTTGCCAGACGGAATGTTCAACAACAATAACCTTTTACCGGACCTTGATGACTTAAGCAAAAAACAACAACAACGACTCTTATTACAACTATATCATTTGCTTTCTCTTTATACATATTTTATCCTTCTTTTACGCCTTTTCTCTTATCATTCTTATCGTTTTTAAAAAAAAAAGAGAAAGAAAAATACTCTTTTTTATTCTACTTCACTCATGTTTCTACCTACGAAACCCTTCTATCTCCATCCTCTTATTATACGACCCTTTAGTTTCTTCTATCTTCAGCAAAACATTTACCCTTATTCTTTTCTACATTTGCTGATTCTTCGATTTCTTTCTCTTATATACTCACACTTTTATATCGCTTATTGTTGCTTATTTCTTCTTTCTTATGGAATGCCTTTACACTAATATAATGAACAACCTATTCTTTACAATATGTATAACAAAAACACCAAACGACTTTTCCGGCTTGTTGAAAGTTCTTGTTTCCATCAAGTTACATAATACACTGCACCTTGTACATATCCAACGGGATGTGCCATCACAACAACGATGTTGGGCCTATCATATACAGTATCATATAAACAGATACTCTTGTATTCGAAAAACCGCCATGTCATGACCAATGCACCTGCTCTTTGTAACACTACAGCCGTGTTGGGACAATGACAGCTTTTTCTATTGTTAGCAGCAACAGTATGTATGGCTCCTTAACTACATACGCAAAATTTAGTGTAATAGATGACTTCCACAGTTAAATGGAAAATGACGTAGTCTATGTATCATATGTACTTGAAATACATATTTATGATACTACTATAAAGATCTACCCCCTCTAAATGCGTTGGTTGTCAAACAAACAACCGGTTTGTAAGGGAAGAGAAAGTAAAGAACACAAAGTGTTCATCAAGATAGGTGCTTTATATTTTTTATTCGCTACTAGACGTTATTTTTCTCAATGGGATGAAATCTATCTACATTGCGTATGATGACAAAAAGTGGTGCTGCGACTAAGGCATCAACAAGATAGTAGCACTTTTACCTTGTGCTGAAGAACTGGATGAACTCCGTTCCCTACAAACAAGCAAACAAGCAAATGCGTTGAGTTGTAGCTCGAGGTACATGCTACGGGATATTTGGTAGATGCATAGTATACTTGCCGCAGGGTGCATTGCTTAAATTGATGCTTACTGCTTTTCTTCTGCGCGTGATTTCATTTACAGAATGCATGTGGTCGAATACTTTCTTGTCAGCATGGACTACTTTGTACATATTAAGAAAACGGGCTATGTTCCAACATTAAGGTCGACGTTGCATCTGCTCGAGTTGTATTGTATTTCAGCATACAACCTCATGGGATATCACGAAAGCTTATTACAGCAAAAAGAAATGGTGTTGTGGGATGATTTATACCATACATGTCTGTTTAAAATATTTCGGCTCCCGGCTAGAACCCGATGTTGACATCCTGCATGATATCACATGGCGAATTATGTAACATTATGCTTTACATTTAGAGACTTCTTTGCAGCGTTGAAAAGCTGACTTCTTTATGGCTTGAAAATGACAATGCAGGCGTACGCTATACCTAAAGACCTCCATACATATTTAGGAGAAATAGAACAGTACTCATCAGCACGTAAGCATACATCAGCTTTTTAAAGTTCGTTAAAAATGGGCCATTATTCATGCTCAGATCTCTTTGCACTCTGTCTCTCCTATATGCACGTTTACGCCATCTAATCAACCCAGGACCGTCCATGTTTCCTTTTCAAGCTCCTTACTTTTTTCAGCTATAAAAGAGGAATGATAGACTTACAGAGGCTGTCATTTTCTATCTATACAAGGCACCACAGAATAACATCTCTAGCAAAAACGAGTATTGTATAAATGGCACCACTTGAAGTTATCGGAGCCGGCTTGAGCCGTTGCGGCACGGACAGCTTAAGAGTAGCTTTGAACATGCTTGGGTACGACCGTACATACGCGCAAATGGCTTCACCTGTTACAATATCTTAAACACAAGATAGCTTAACATTAGAATAAAATATATATTACAAAATCTAATAGATACAACACTCACCACATGCGCGAATTGTTGGAAACCGACGGACATCCTGAAGTTTTTGAAGAAGCGTACAAGAATCCCGAAAAACCCGTAGATTGGGATTCAGTTTATGAGGGTTTCAGCGCAGCGGTTGACTGGTAAAATACTGTTGAGCTTTCTTTGTTCTCTCTTCTTCTCCCCATCCCCCTTCCTGTGCTGTAATGAACACCATCGTCAGAGATTATCTGGCTGGCAAAAAGAAATACTCATCTTCTCGTTTAGCCCTAGCATCTTCGTTTTACCCAGACTGTTCAAGAAATATCCTGATGCCAAAGTGATTCTTACCAAACGCGACTTTGACAGCTGGTATAAATCGGTCTCAAACACGATCTTCCACCTTCATGATCAGCTTCCTGAAAACCCTCAAGAATTCGCTGTGCGCACACGGAGAATGGTCAAAACTATCTGGCTTAATGGCTCTTTCCAAGACATGCAAAAATTCAAAGATGAACCCGAGTTAATCAAAACCCGTTTCGAGGCACATAATGCATGGGTGGTAGAAAATGTTCCAGCAGATCGTTTGCTGGTGCTTGACTTGCGTGATGGTATTAACTGGGACAAACTTTGTGCGTTCCTCGGTAAGCCAATACCAGACGAGCCTTATCCTCGTATCAACTCTACCCAGTCCTTGAATAAGGAGTACCAGCAAATGCTCAAGTCGATGGCTGTTCAAGGGGAAGACCAGCAGGTTAATGGTGGCTCTAGTAATTTGATTTCTCCAGGTTCACAGCCTGTAGCATCTACAACCAATTAGTAGCCACTCTCAGTCGTACATATCTACTCATCCGCCATCAATAAACGTAACATGGATATTACCGAAAGGATGTACATTTACTGCTCCACTACAGTAATAGGGCAATCTTGTTACGCAGCAATTACTCAGTACAATTACATGTATCATTTGCAAAAAGAAACTTAAACTGAGATGCGCCCCTTTCCAACTTCAGCCCATCGATGATCATGTTTTAACGTACTGTAGCGTATATCCACCCAGCAGAGCAATGGACTTTGAAAAAGAAAATGTAAGGAGTGACAATGTATCCAGTTGCAAGGGACTGTAGTACATCAACTAGCTAACTTTTGTGTTTTGTAAAGGAGCGTGTGATTGCCGCCGCAAATTCCGGGATTGTGTAACTGTAAATACCGGCATCATATCACTTGAAAAATTGTTTATATTTAAAGACATGTATCAATAACAGATGATATATAGCTATAGTAATGTCGTGGCTGACTATTTGAAACCTTGTTTAAAGCCACATCATGGCTGAAAATGTATCAGCACCCATCGTTCGTTTCATTGATACACATCAGATGGGTGTCACATATTCTAATTTTACACAAACTCCCCATGTATAGACCAAGAGGCAGAATAGTGATATGTTCGCTTAACTTCACCGTCACTGCAATCAACTATTCATTGATTCAATATCTTTTACAAGAATTTTATCAATTCAACCAAAAAGGGCGGGTGCATACGATGTGTATTTGGGGTTTCCTACAGCCGTTGCGGGGCGAAGCTTGATCAAGGCTGAGTTATATGTTGTACCAAAGCCTCATTAGACTTTATCTGTTTCCTTTATGTTACACGCAGCCCGCCGGGCCTAACCATCATATATAAAGCGGATTTATTGAAATCATTCGTTTCTTTCTTTTATCTTTCTACTATATCCTTTAGTACGCACAAAAGATATATGGCGCCACTTGAAGTAATTGGAGCTGGCGTAAGCCGATCAGGCACTGATAGCTTAAGAACAGCGCTCAATATGTTAGGGTAAGAGAAAGAAAGACACTCACGTCATCTTGCGTCATCTAAATAACTTTCTGCATTGAATTTTAGTTACAATACCCACCATATGCGGTCTATGTTTGAATGTGATCGTAAGCCCGAAGTTTTTGAAGAAGCGTACTTGCATCCTGAAAAACCTGTTGACTGGGACGAGCTTTACGAAGGATTTAGTGCAGCAGTGGATTGGTATGTACACATTTTCTCATTGTCGATGCACATTTATAGCTTGCAACAAGATATTAGCAAAGGTTCTGATGATATCTTGATATTCTATTTTTCCGTTACTCAAAAAAACTGTAGTCCTACGATCTCTTTTCTCGACAGATTATTTGACTATTATCCAAATGTCAAAGTAATCCTAACCAAACGTGATCCGGACAGCTGGTACAAGTCTGTGCTCAATACCATCTACAACTTCCACGACAAGCTTCCAGAAAACCCCAAAGACTATGCTATCCGCAATCGAAAAATGACAAAAACCATTTTTCTTCAAGGCGCATTCATGGACTTGCAAAAATTTAAGGATGAACCCGAAGTAATGAAGGCACGCTACGAGGCGCATAACGCATGGGTTTTGGAAAACGTCCCAGCAGACCGGTTGCTAGTGCTTGACTTGCGGGATGGTATTACGTGGGAGAAGATTTGTCCGTTCCTTGGCAAGCCCATACCCAATGAACCTTATCCTCACGTGAATGACACCAAGACTATGAAAGTAGAATTTCCCAAGGTGATCGCTTACCTGGCAGAAAATAACACTGCTTCTCATACTGCTGCTAATCCTCAATCCACTCTTGTATAATAGTAGTTATCGTTTGCTTATCAATAAAATACATATGTAAACATGTTATTCTCTATAAAATTTTGACTTACATGTACAGCTGTTGGTTTTATTATTATTCACGGTAGCGTTAAATAACTTTTGTAGTACATGAAGTATGATGGTTGCAATTTGTATGTAGAATCTCTCAGTCGGTGAACACTACTTCCTACTTAATCAGTCTACAAAAGTAACTTGTTCGCTACTTTTAATGCCTCCTTTTATATGCAGGTCCTGAAAATAAACACAACGTAATCAGGGGTGTACACAACTACCATGCTTTTTCTCAACGGAAGTGGATACAACGTAGGAAAGCAAGATATTTTACAATGACACAACTCACTCACTAAGCTTAATTCCCTAGCACATTAGCGTGTATCATACATAGCCAATAAAGTTGCATTCGTTAACGGACGCGATATCGTGTATCTAGGGGCATTCCATTTATTCTTGATCTAAGTACAGTGGTAAGTGCGGACGAAAGATACGATAGTGAACTTTGTCGTATCTGGGGCGTCGTACTGTTACCAAGGATATATAGCTCACACCAGCTAACGCCAGTATTAGCGAAGTGTCGCGGCTTATAGTGACTTCTACACAAATTTGATAAGTCTTTGATCAGTCAGATCATTTGACATCACAAACTTGATAGCTGGAATATCAAAGAGCTTGATTAATTGTCGGAATAAAGCATTATCACAAAGATACATATGTATTACCTGTGTCCTACTGTATTCATTTTCTTTGACACGGTGTTGAATTTTATGGACACGGCCAATGAAGATGATGTCATCCGTAGGATTGTCACAAATTGCACGCTTTGCGTGACAACTGCAATCAATGTTATTCGATCGACGAAGTTCTTCAGGTTCGTTTTTAAACTTGCTACACATTTCTTTGTTATCAAACTACAGTACACTTATTAACCTTTTTTCATTTACAGTTGAACCCCGTTTTTTGCACCTCCACTTTTTGCAGGTCCCCAGTTTTTGCAGCTTTTTTTGGAGGAATCCCGTTCACCACTTAGTAAAATTGCAGTTTCCTCACTTTTTGCATTTTGCAGCCCAAAATGAAGGACCTGCAATTTTCCGCTTGTAATTTTCATTCTATTAGAGAGCGACGACGCTGAGAATCGAACCAATGATGTTTGTTCTGGCTTTTCTTGCATAAATCATCCTGGATTTTTCCAGATTTTTTGATGTTCTGGGGCATCTAAATACTAGTTGTTTTTCTTGCAAACTATATACTGGTGTAACAGGTTCAGATGAAACAGTCATGTTAGCATCTTCGTTGCCATTGTCAACAACATCATCATCAGTTATTCTTTCATTATGAACAGCACTAATAATTTCTTCATCGGACAGCAGTGGATTAACAGCTGCAATTTCCTCAGCTGGATCTGCATCAAAAGTGAAGTTCACAAGGTTATTGGCACCATAAATAAGGCTTATATGATCATTGATCTGGCTAAGTGCAACTTCGTCTGCATTGTTTAACTCACTGTTAGTGCTGTTAGTCATGACTGCACCTACTAGATTTGTGTAGTGCATTTTCTATAGTGATATAATACTCGTCCTTGAATAGAGAATGAAGAAATGGTTAAAGGACACAAGGAATATCGTTAATGATGAAGAGATTTTTGTACCGACAAGGGGAAATCGTAACAGAAAGCCACCTATTGATTTCGCTTTCCATTTTGAGAACCATGTGTTGCCAAAGAAGAGAAAAACATCAACTGCTAGTAGCAGTAGTAATTTTGATACAACAGACAACAATAGTGAAGCTTAAACGTTTCAACAGATACATACACAACACGGCACGACACATATACACAATCGAGATCACCTATCACATAGGCATAGCACTTGAAACCCCATTTTTCAATTCTTAGTTATACCTAAATCACTACTGCACATATTTTTACCCACAATTTCCTGTATATGGTGTACAACATCGTAATTTTACCATCTTTTCTTTTATTTCTTTTTATATCGTTTATCAAAAGCTCTTGAACCTCATATCATAAAACATGTCAAAATAAGTTTTCTTTATGGTCCACATATTTTGTTCCAGACTCCACCATCTGTACTCACACAAAATGTATAGTTTAAATGGGTTACTGGAATGGATAAGAAAACACATGCTTTGCGTTGTCGCTGACAATGCCATACACTGCAAAAAATAAGGGGTATCAATAAGGTATCAAATTTTAATAACTCAGATATCATAACAACGGATCTCAACATGGTATCAATAAGGTATCATCATTATTTTGATACTCCTAGTATCATTAGGGTATCATCACTTGATATCCACTCAATTAATTTTTAAGTAGTCAGCTCACTAGTAAAAGACATAACACTCAGTGCAAAAAATGCAATCTCTCTAATGGTCATAGGGGTACTCTCAAACCTTCAGAGCTCTTTTCAAAATCGACTAGCAACATCAACACTTATATGATGATCAATCTGAATCAACCACAAATCGCCACTATTTTTTAGTAGTAAAACGTACAGCAAAAGAATTTTCAAGCATTCCATCTCAAAATGTATGTAAAGCGCATTTCAAGAAAAAGTAAAAAGAAATAGTAATTTTCATCAAAAATAATGACACATTAAGAGGCTGCATCTGGCAATGTCGTCTGCTCAGACCTTCTCTTCCTGATCCAAGATACAGTATATATACTACCATCGTGAATACGGTTTTGTATACGTTAATAGGCATGATGTTGACATATGAGGTATCATAATGTTATTGCTGGTGCCAAATTAGTAAAACAAATTGGGACCTGGTTCACATTATTTAAGATCTGAGAACAATGAGCGATCAAAACACTCTTTCTTTCCGTTTTATGTCTCTTTTTGATTCTACTTCCTGCTTGCATTTACTCTTGGTTTGCAGCAGCCATTGTTCAAAAGGTAAAGCAATTTCAATGTAGTGTGTGCTTATAAGTGATATACTATCAATGCCTTTGTCCATGACCTCATTGACTCACTCTGATATGCCCTTATATTAAGCAGTGTCAAACTAACGTGAAATTTTACGTTCGATACTTATGGGTGCCTCTTTCATTTCGTATAAAGTATCTTTATGCTCTGGTAAGCCATTTCCTTTCATAGCATTTTGCTGCTTTATATGCTGATTTTGTTGCCAAAAACTACTTGAAGCGCTCATGTTGCTAATTCGCATGCTCGGCTTCCTTCCGTGGAGTTGTGTAGCATAGATAGAGATTACGCATCTCTCGGCGCATGGTATCCCTTATTACTTCCACACCACCACTGCTTGAATGTCTGCTGGTAATCCCCATTCAATTGGTGAGCGTGATTGTCTCGTTTTGCTCTATCATACTATAATATGCTAATATCTGATTGTCATTTAATTACTCAATGCTTCGATAATTATAAAGATCTGTTGCCACTAACGACCACAAACTGTAAGATGGCCGTTCATTTATGCTCTGCTTTTTCCACTACATATAACTGATTATCATTATCTATTAGTATCACTTTTCACTATTGCCCGTCATTTGTCTAGCTCCATTTGAATCTTGCAGTCTAGTGTTCTAACCATTATATTATAATCTCAAGTTGTTATATTAATATGGCGGTAAGTAAAACATGAGAAGTGGTGTATTCTAGATCCCATGGGATAGTTGGCGTAGCCGAGGACGAGGATGTGATGTTGGCTCCCAAAGCCGCGCTTTTTATTCTCAGTTGTTCTTCTATGTATCTTCACATCTTCCAAAACTAGGCAAGTAATTTTTTCGCTATTCTGGGGTTGGGTGTTTAAAATAATCTTTTATACCAAAGGCAGGTGCCCACATCAACGTCCTCGGCTATGCCAACTATGGCATTGGGCTTCGTTCCTACCCCAATTCCCGTTGGCTCCGCCTCGTCCTCTGATGTGGTGTTCTTATTCGTAAGAGGCGAAAAAATTGCTTCAACCATCGCTTTCCCTGTTCCTTGCTGATTTGTTGGTTGCAGGTGATAATCTTTCATAATGGGAGTAAATCCATAACAATTAATTTTACTGTAAACAGTAAACTAATTTTGTTATTACACTATCCAATCAAACCTGTGGCGTCCTAATATGTAGTACAAAACATCATTATACATTTGCTTAAGACTCATGTGTACACAATAGAATTCTAGCTTCATACCAAGAACACTTTTGTTAGTACAGTACATAATTTCTTCTTATGATTATCGTCGAACATTCGTAAACTGTAAGTCCAAACCAAAGAAAACGGAAAAAGCAAACAAACAAAGCTTCTAACTACAAGGACGAGGGGGATTGAATGGTGTCCACAGAAGGAAACAATTTCTTTCACGTAAACAAAATACTAATAAGATTGAGTATATCTGATCCGTAAACAAAACAGCTTCAGGATCACGCAAGATGGTATATTATAGATTTATAACAACAACTATACATGTCCCATGACAATAGAAAAGCGAAGTGTAGAGATACTGGCGGGTACATCCACAGTAGCTGCTGGACTATCGTTAATTTCACTTTGTCGCTGCGTTGAATTGGCTGTCGCTCCATGGTTACTATTTGATCGTGTAATTCGTGGTGTATGTTGCTGTGACGCTACTGTAACAGTGTTTGTCGATGTGCGCTGCACTCCACCTGCTGTCGTTGTCGTCGCAGTAGTAGTAGTAGTAGTAGGAGCAGTAGTAGTGTTATTAATAGTAATCGATTCAGTTGCTGACGGCGAGGAGCGTTGTTGATGGTCATCCGAATGAGATATGCGTTGACTGTTATGATGCGACGAAGATAGTGCTTCATCTGCACACAATGTTGTACTTCGCCAGCCCTGTATTTTTGTTGGGTTAGTATACCAAACTTGCGATGCAGTAGCTTACGATACAGTAGAAAAAAATTGTATGAAGATTACCCAGCTTTGCAGAACTGAAAAATTATCTGGACTGCTCTGGAACAAGGTCATAGAGTGCTTGGGTCCTCGCGATGGACAGAAGATCTTAAACCACGTTTTAACAATTTTGCGTTTGTCTGCATACCGTGAAAAGGTCGACAGTTCAGGTGTACAGCGGCGAGCGCATTGCTGATGGTTTGCTGCTCCTGGCAGGTGTATTGTTGTCGAAGGTGCTGGATTTGTTCCATCTAGGATATGGTTGCAAGGACCGCATGGTATCGATTGGCGATGAAGGTATACGCCTAATTGCAGGACACCTTTGCGTTGTGAGCGTGTCTTTTGTATGTACATGTTCCAATTGGATCTATATAAGAAATACATACAGAATCAGACAATTGGCCAGTTCTATCCAAGTCTAAGTGCAGTGAACTGATGTATATACGAAACAGATAACGTACCCGGCATAGAATACGGTTTTTGAGTACACACGGACGTTGTGTTTCAACGTGGCAAAATCAGTGAATTCCACGCTAAACCGGAACGGGGGGTATAAAGCGTACTGTTTATTTGTATCCTTAATGTTATTTGCTGTCGTCGTACTTTGTTGTTTGGCAGTAGCGGGATGCTGCGCAGCCCTCAATTTCTGCGTTTCCGGTACTGCCGAAGTTGGCCACGAGAACGTCGACTCGCCTGTATACGTGGTCATGTCATCGACCGGAATCGGTTGCAGGAGTGGAGGTTGTGGTACAAGATCACTGCTTTCTTGTTTTTGCTGTATCTGCTCGTACTGTGCCCTAGAAACTGTCAGATCGAGCGCCTGGTCACGTTCGCTTGCATTTTCTATTTTACTGCGTAGAGAGATTTGTTGCCACAGTGCGTCTTTCAACAGCCGATCAGGAACCAGCGGTTGTCTGGTGAACGGGTTCATGTCCGAACGGATCGAGTCCAGTTGCTCAAAGGTCATGTGAATGTAATGAATTGATCGTGATATAATGGCCTCGTACACGTCTAATTCCTGTTTAAGATTGTTGCCGCCCTCGGTCGTCTGGTCAAGTGCTTCAAAGTCGGATTGCTTGTGCAAATCATCTGGCGACGGCACAACCTCAATATCATCCACATACGAGTCCTTTTCAATATCGCTGCTGCTACTGCTGCTGGATGGGTTGTGGTATTCATCCTGATCCACATACTCTTCTTCTTCTTCCTGGTGACGGTATATCGTATGACGCATACCCAGAATCCGTGTAACAAATTTATATCGATCGTATTCACTGATAGAAAAACAACAAGGGAGAGTGCCGGCATGAGATAATGATTAGCATCATCTGTCCGAATAAACTTTTTAATTTATCCAAAAATGACATAACGTAAATAGTAAAGGAAATGTTTACCTTGGTACCCATAAAGCATCACTTTCAATAATCTTTTTAAGCCAGTGCACCGGCAATTGCGCGACCGTTTCTAATCTGAGCGAGTACAGCTCGCGACACAAGTAAGTGAAAACGTTGTTTAATATCCGGTCGCAACCAAAGATTATATGTTCATCCGCGAATGTCAAGTACTGGATCACATTATTTTCATCCAGGGTCTGCGAGATAAACTGAACGCATAATTCGGCCATATGTTCCAGCTGGAAAAATGAACACGTTGCCAGGATTTGGCGCACATTGTCGGCATGAATGTCCGGATCGTATAACTTGCCATACAGCTGTGCCAGGACAAAATAGAACGAATTTTTGGTAATAAATGGATTATTCTCGAAATGCAACGTGACGCTATCCGATGAAGATTCCTGGAACCCGCCTTGTAGCAATGAGCTGAAATACGGGTTTTGGTCGAGAATGATCCGATGTAGGTTATACACTTTGCCCCAGGCCGGCACGTGGACTGAAATGTCGCTTCCGATGCCGTCAATAAGACCACGGGTGAATATGTGTCTGCATAGCATGAGTGAGTGCAGGCGCCAGTCGTACTTGTTGGTAGCACTGGTGGGCATTGTCGTCGTTGCTGTCGTCGCTGTTGCTGCTGCTGTCGGCTGACCCATACCTCCAAAGGTGACATTATTATTGGTATTACCAGCATAATTATAATAATCTCCAAAGGGGCAAGGCCCCAAACCCCCTCCTTCAAAGTTGCTCGGTGATGGACTTGATTTGTTGCTATCATTGAGTAACCACGGTAAATCCGACATCGACTTGGCTGGATTGCTCCGTGGTCGACCAGAGGCACTGCTACTACTGCCGCTACTACCGCCACCGTTGTCGCGATGGTGATCTGTGACAAGTTCGATCCGTTCGCTCCATAAAACCGGTGTCGAGCTGTTACTTGCGGTTGGCGACGCTCGAGTAGGCGTGGTTGGATAAAGTTGTGTTTCCAATGGTTGCGTTGCTTCATTATGACTACTCGTCGTCGTGCTATTATTGCTGCTGGTTGATATACGTCCGGAATGAATTGAGCTAGCTCTCATTGGACAGTTGTCGAGTTGGTTATTACAAAAATAAAATTAAAACAAAGGGTATCGTAGAAGACTGTTTTGATAAAGAAAACTTTTGCATCGGCATTACAGAACGTTATTACTTTTGACAATAAAACAGGCTACGTCAATAATCCAGAAAAAAGAACTTACAATTACTAGGGTATATTATGTGACAATCACCAGTAGTAGCTTCAAAAGAAGAGGCTCGTCTTTGAAATGCCTATGCAATGTCACTTAAAGACGTGTTTATGTAATTGTGTGTCTTTGAATCGCCAGAAGAAGACAAAACCAAGAAAGAAGAAGGTGCCTGAACCGTTTCTCGTTTCTGCAGATTTGTGCCAAAATTCAAGCCCGACTGGACTATGCCCTTATTTCTTGGTCCCACCAAACCTCTATTCACCTCTTGTATAGATTTTTTGGCCACAACGCAGACGCGATGAGCGACCTACTCATTGCCAGCACCATCCTCAAAATATTGTTGATTCCGGCATAGTAAGAATCTAACTTGAATTTATCGTCATACCCGTATAAAGCGGTGGATGCTCTTTCTTAACACGATTTACTGTATATATATAAAGTAGATCGACAGACTTTGAGGTACATCGCAATTGGTTAGCCATCACTCACAGCTTACCTATTTCCAAATGGTATATTGAGGTGAGCAGAATACATTAGCGCAACGTTGAAGATGTATTATATTAACGCGTAAATATTTTTTAGAAAACTTCGATATGGACTCTCGACTATCCTCCTTTCTTTGCATGGTTCGAAAAATTCTGGAGCGCGTTTGCCCAGCTGGTGGATCCAGCCATGCTGGTTGTTGACAACCTCGAATATGCGAGCTGGAAAACTGTAGTGTTTCAACGCATGACTGTCATAATAAGCGAACTTGTCCTGTATTGGTCACTCAAGCGATATATTCGATACTTTGGGAACCAATATGTCAACTGGCTTATAGCTGCTTCTATTTTCCTTCATCCGGGCCTGTTAATTGTGGATCATATCCTTTTTTTTATTTTATTAATATTTAAGCAATAGATGCATCAAGATAAACATCGATGTGGTATTAAAGAACGATAACTGGTGAACGATTATGTCCTTAACTTTTTAACACACATGCATTTCCAGTATAACGGGTTTCTTTACGGTATTTTACTCCTGTCAATTGTCGAAGCAAAACGGGTAATTTTCTACTATCTTGCTCTGTAGTCACCCTATTACTGCTGCTAGTTGCTATGTGCATTTAGCCTTGTTTTTATGACGACCAGAAACCGAAACGTATAACTTTTTTTCTCGTCTGTTGCAACAGGGTCAATTATTGCTATCCGGTATCTTGTTTGCTGTACTGTTGAACTTCAAGCACATTTACTTGTACATGGCACCCGCTTATTTTGTATACCTTTTAAAAGCTTACTGCTTTACCTCCAGTAAGTTGATCTTATTTCATCGTTCTTTAGTGCTGACGTATAGCATACAGTTTGGAATGCTGACCGTTTGATATGGCTATGTATTAGCTGAACTATCATCATTTTCGATCCAACGATTCATCAATCTCGGTGGTTCTGTTATTGCAGTATTTGCGCTCTCACTCGGCCCATTCATTCATCAACTGCCTGCTCTTGTGGGTCGATTGTTCCCATTCACACGTGGTCTGTGTCATGCTTACTGGGCACCCAATTTTTGGGCCCTCTATGCTGCAGCCGATCGATGCCTTATTTTTGGTAAGATTGTTTGTTCGCGTCGGACAAACTAATAAGGTTTTGGATTGAAACAATGTGTTAATCAAGCAGAATTATAGCGGGTAAGCGGCTTGGATGGTCTATGAACAAGGCAGCAATGGGTTCTATGACACGCGGCTATGTTGGCGATACACAATTTGCTGTTTTGCCTGATGTACAAGCTTCCCATACCATGATCTTGACATTGATTGCTCAGTTGGTAAGCAAATTTACTTTACCTTACATAGTGTTCAAAAGGTGTTGAAGAAACTAAAAACGTCTCTAATTTGTCTTGAATCATGATTGCTTGAATGTGAAAGGCTGTTCTTCAATTGCTATGGCGAAAACCAACGTTTGACAACTTTTTATCGGCGTTGACGCTGTGTGGATTCGCCTCGTTTTTATTTGGCTGGCACGTACACGAAAAGGCAATCTTGATCGTCTTGATCCCTTACAGGTAAATCCAAAAATCAGGAGAACTGCTTATTAGCAGATACGTCATAATTCGGTAAAGCTAATATGTCTGTTACGTGGTTATTCGATATGTCTTTTTTAAAAATATTAGCTTGATGGCAGCCAATAGCAAGCGTCATTTACGCGCCTTCGCCATGTTGAGCGCAGCAGGGATCTATTCGCTCTATCCCCTCCTGTTTCATGCCGCAGGTAAAACTTGAGCAATCAATCATACGACACAAATCAACTGAATGACACTGATTCTTTATTGTATTACTGTAGAAACTCCAATCAAGGTGACATTTACGATCGTGTGGGCTTTGATTGTCATTCCCGGTTTAGCTTTTGCCATGAAAACGTAAGAGAACTTATCACTTTCGAAAAGGGAAATAATTGATCTCGGAGAAATAATCTTACATGTACAAACTTCAGACCTGTCAAATCGGTGTTACAGCCAGTGGAATTACTATATCTTTCTGGGCTTGTCGCACTGCAATTGTATTCCAGCGTCGTGCATGAACTCCTATTTGTAGGGGATCTGCAGTTTTTACCATTGTTACTGACAAGCGTATATTGTGGGGCAGGGGTGATGTATGGGTACTTACTAGCCATGAACAATTGTTTCACTTGACGATAAACATGGGATGTGTTAGGGCTTTGTTATTGTTAATCCCCCATAATCCATTTCAATCATATTCAAGACAATTTTCCCAAAGATTCTTCATTTTTTCCTATTTTTTATAAAACTCTTTCTTCCTTTTTTTATTAATTACTACTACCGTCACTACCTTTATAAACTTTTACAAAGAAAAAAAGAGGAGCGATGGATTCACGACAACTACGAATTCCAGGGTACATGTTCTATTGTGTCCTTATGGCAACTTTGGGGTCCTTTTCAGTCGGTTGGACCATTGGCTCGCCAAACGTTCCGGGCGAGATTACCCATAATTGTCCTACTGGCAATGCTCATATCAACAATCCACAGCTCCCAGACTGTTTACCCATGGACACGACCCTCTGGTATATTCATCATTTTGTTACAAAGAATAAGCAACCTTATTGAGCAAGATTACAACGTTTATTCTAAATGACATACGCATGTTTATAGGGGTTTTGCTGTATCATCGTTTTGTGTGGGTGCTTTGATAGCAGGCTTTTTTGGTGGCCATATCCAAACAAAATTAGGTCGTAAGTTGGCAATCCGGTATAACACGATTCCATGGGTTATCGGCTCCATCTTAATGGGTGCTGCAGCGCATAATGCCATGTTTATCATTGGTCGTTTGATTACGGGTTTTTCGTGTGGATTGGGATCGGTTTGCATACCAACGTATATTGGCGAGACATCCACAATTCGTGCGCGTGGTGCCATGGGAACTTGTCACCAGTAAATGTCTTCTTTCTTCACTTTACTAGTATCAAAGCTTGATTAATGCATATTATGTACTAATATATGATACACACATACGCATATGAACCCAGGTTTTTTATTGTCTCTGGTATCTTGCTCGCATCCGTTATTGGCTTACCCACATCCACTGTGCCCTTGTGGCGTCTAAACTTTGCATTGGTGGGCATCCCTGCTATTGTGCAGTATTTTCTTACTTACACCATGGTCGAATCGCCTCGCTGGCTCGTGTCTCAGAACCGCATCGATGAAGCACGCTACTCGCTCGCGCGCTTGCGCGGTAAAAAGGCTAACATTGATGGCGAGTTTTATGAAATCGTCGAGTCGCAATTGGGCTCTGCTGCAGCTGCCTCGGTGGCTCACAGCCCAGACAACACCATGAAGCCTATTACCCAAGCACAACGCGCCGAAGGCGAGGACGAAGAGGATGCACTCAGACCAACGCACGACGATGACGCAGTTGGCCCATTCTCTGACGAAGCGAGCGAACAAGTCAATCGCCAAGACGCATTGAATCATATCCAAGTATTCAAGGATCCATTGATTCGTCACGTTACGCTTATCATTCTGTTCTTGCACTTTATGCAACAGTGGATTGGTATGAATGCAGTCATCTTTTATTCGACGACCATTTATGCCGAGGCCTTTGACCAGAGCATGTCGCAATATATGGCGATTGCTACAACAGGCGTCAACTTTGTTGCCACGCTGCTTTCGGTGCTGTTAGTGGATCGCATGGGCCGCAGGGCACTACTTTTGATTGCTGAGTTTGGTTGTACCCTCTTTTCAATGCTGCTGGTGATTGGCTACGCTCTCCATATTCCTGCATTGCTTGTCGTTTCCGTGTTCCTCTACGTCGCGTCGTTTGCCGTTGGTGTTGGTCCCATTCCCTGGGTGAGTCTCCTTAGCCATCATATTTTTGGTGAGAGAGTGAGAAAAAGTGGGCGTTATTGCTGATATACCATATCTAAATAGATGATTACATCTGAACTGACGCCGACATATGCCAACTCAGCCGTGAGTTCACTTGCAACTGCCATGAACTGGTCAATGAACTTTGTTATTGGTCTGGTGTTCCCTCTTATCTTTGAGAAAATTGCAGGCTACACTTTCTGTATCTTTATCGGCGTTGGTATCGTCGCTATGTTTGTTACGGCCATATTTCTGCCAGAGACGTAAGTTGCTAAAGATTGATAAAAAAAACCTGGAGATCTTGCTCACGATGATGATGATTCTTTTCTTTCTTCCTATTACAGTAAGAATCGATCTATCGAAAATATCTTTAGAAGCTTGCACACCAGCAAAAAAGATAAATTAGCACCCCAACATTTAGGTACCGGTCCACAAGTTGCAGAGCCCAAGCAGGACCCTGTGACACAACAGATAGAGGGTGGCACTGGTCAACAATAATTATAATCCATTCGTTTCAGTTTCCTCTTGCTTTTCACTTTCGTACATACATAAAATACACTGCAAATCTTTTTATCTCTTCCATCATGTTAATCAGCAAGTATTTGTATACACGTTATACAGAATATGCTTCTTGGACTTTATTATTACTGTTGTTGCTGTCCATTTTCATCAATAACTTCACCACCCACATCCAGGAATCCATACTGTGAGCATACTTGTACCAGTGTCTCTGCATCATCTACCGACATGCCCTCCAAGACCTTGTTCAGGTTATCCAATTTACCCGTCTTCAATGCCTCACGGAACGGTTCCGGCAGAGCCAGAAATACTTTGTATGCTTCTTCTTCTTTGGTATCAGGAATACGGATCGTAATCGGCGATCCATCTTGTGCCGCCTGCAGTTGGATGGTTTCCACTTGATCATTTGCACGTTCAGCGAGAATCTCGGCACAGCGTGTCTTGATTCGCTTATAAGTGCCCTCGACATCGTCGAAAAACATCTTGCGTCCTTGTTGATTGGGACCATTCATTCTTTATTGAGAATTTGTTAGTATCTCGCATAACGATTCACATTCCAGCTTGCCTTACTTCCCCTCAATATTTTACCTGGTGAAGAAAGTGGCAATACCGTTTTTTCCGAGTTGACCGCAGTATTGCAAAGTTAATGATTGGATGACACAGTTATGTGCGTATTCTTCTTTGCCTTGGAGTTGCGATGTGAATGCTTCGGCAAGAATCTGATCCGAGATCTTTTCGTTGACAATATCCGGGTATCGCATAATGTGCTTGTAGCTAGGCTCAAAGCCCTTCAATTTGGCGAATGTCTCTGCTTCTTTGGACAATTCAATATCCTTTTCACCCTCACTGTCGCTATCATCCTCTTCTTGTGCTTGGTCCGAAATCGACTAATATGTATTATACTGTTACTAAACTTGACTTATTCAAGACCGTCCACCATAGCATGTCATGGAAAACTTACCAGGTTTTTCATTTGCGCATTCGGGTTTAATGTTTCAACAACCTTTTCCTTCTTCGTGGGTGTCTTTTTTGATTTCGATGCTGCTGATGAAGCTGCTGACGAAGACGATGGTTCCTTGTTAAGCACTGTGCGATTGGCCGTTTCATGAAACATGTTTTCGGACGTTAATTTTTTGCCTGCTTCTTTACGCAGTCGTTCCAATTCCTTTTGTGATTTTTCCAGAACCACGGTCGCCTTTTGCTGCAATGTCTTTACCGAACCCAAGAACGCTTGTCGCACATTGTCGTCTGCACTGTCCAATTTAGGCGTGTATGTGTCAATAAGTTCAGTTAGGGCCTTGTCGAGTGTCACTGGTGGGGTATTTGGCTTGGGTGCCGAATCAACGGCCACAATATGGTTGCCTTTGGATTGGGCCAACTTTTGCAATTCGCTAAGCTTCTTTAAGGTTTGCCCGCAAGCTTCTTTGGCATCACCCGAGCTAGGCTCGAGCATGCTAGGAAATGGTTCCAGTTGTTCCAAGATCCACTGCTCCAACGGGATAAATTGCTCGAGTTGTTCAATTTGTGCTTTACGCTCAGCGCGTTCGCGATGAATGGCTTCACGTTTCCACTTAATCATGGAACGCTTGTCGACGTTGGGGTGGCACTCAATGTCACTGTCGTCCGAGAGTTCGAGATTGTCCCACTTGCTGTAATCCAATGGCATCTTTTTTGGTTCTGAAAGTGTTTAAAAAAATATAAGATGAGGGAAGAACGACGCCAGTGGCCCTGCATTGGGGAGGTAAAAACGTCAATTTTTGTTTCCAGCATTTTCTTCAGCATAATTTTGTGTTACAAGGTGGAAGGTTCTCGTCTCAAATTTCAAATACTACGCTCAGATGATAATATCAGGTAAATGTTCAATGGAATTAAAAGCACTTCAGCGCATAGCAGCTCTCTTTCTTTGCAGAAATACATACTACATAGTGCGTATTTAAACTATGCACCTGGTAGCTATGTGTGTAGCGCACTGTAATGTTTTTTTAAGTTGCTCCTACCAGCTTTATAAAGAAGGGTGGTTGTTTGTCGACTATTTCGTATAGCAAAACCGCAGCATCAAGTTCATTAATGAAACCTTTCTTATATGCTGTATATTCATTTGGACTATCTTCACAATACATCTCTAGCGATACAACAACAAACCGGTTCAGTGTAATTGATGCACCAGAAGATACTGTACTGTATATACTAGTTTATACTTAAAGGTAACTTTCATCCGTTAGTTTTTGTGAACCTGCCTGAACTCTAATGCCTTCTACGCTTAACTGCCATCGTCTTTTCCTGTATTTCATCCGAAAGATACAAATTGCCGTCTGCTGCCGTTGGTTGCCGTTTTTAGCCTTCAGGGAGTTAAAACGACCTTCCAAGAGCCTGCAAAGCCTCAAATGGCTCAAACGGCAATCTGAGAATTTGGTTGTATAATCTTACTGTTACTTGTTGATATTAACCAAATGACTACGTATATATATCTCTCTCACAATCACACATAACGTATTTATATATATAGAGGACAAGTATGGCTTCTCTGGATGTGCAGATTGTTTCCGAAAAGTACAATGCAACGTTAAATCAAAATAATTTAGTCCACTTATTTGTGACATATTTTTGATTTTACAACTTCTTTATTCAATACTTTGACTACTGACGGGTGAACATTTTTTGAGTGTGAGTTTGGCTGTTTGATGACGAGGTTTTTCGTCTAGCAAGCAGATCAGTCACGTTCCTCAATCCATCCAATTTGATATACGAAATTACACTAAGCTCTCCCGGAGATAATATGGCATCGTCTGTATTGCAGTACATGTTTACGAGCTTGATTTTTGTCAGTTGGATGAATAGCTTAGTAATAAGCCCGTGGATGCCTTGAGCTGTGATATAATCCAAACCCCGTTATGTGATGTCGTTCAACGCTTTGATACCATTCAATGCAGAAAGTACTAGATCCGATACCTCTGCATATTTTCAAAACTACACGCTTTGTAGTGACCTTCCAAATTTAAGTAGCCTTGCATATCGGTCAAAAAGCTGGGTTAGATTTTAACCAGCTGAGGTATCCGAGGTACAGGACACCTTCAATGCTTTTAATGGTTGCTGAAGGCTCATAATAACGTTGATAAAACAGTAAATGTCGGAAACATTCCTAACACTTACAGTAAGTGTAAGAGTTTCGGTGTCGATGGCTGATTGTAGGAGCAATGATTATGAAGTGGCGTGAAGCAACAACTTACAAATTAATTATTTGTGGCAGCTTAAGTCATTGTACAGGTGATGTTGAATTGCTGCACTTTTTAGGTCGTCAAGTAAACACGTGTGCACAGTTCTCAGGGTGTCCCTGAGTTTTGTAGATCATTAGGTACATTGCAGCCATCGTCATGTAGTATCCTCTATTCTTGTTTGTGTAGAGCTTCGGTAGCCCAGTTCTGTTCCTTGTTGATGTCTCTTGCAGCATGGGAACTTGAACTTCCCCAGTACTATACCCCAATATTTGAGATTTGCCACAAGCCATAGATGGGGCTCAACAAGGAACTATCATTTAAAATACTTGTGACAAGCTGTCGTAGTTTCTGTCAGCACTGTAGCATGTTATCCATTCTTTCCCTCACTATCAAATGTCGAATTCCATCTGAGATTCCTGAGCGCGCAGTTCTTGCCGTCCACGAAAATTTCTCGAATGACGCTGCCCTGGACGAGTCACGGTAGATGATTAGACAACGGGGTGCAGGATGAAAGTACTTCTGCTATGGTGATACATGGCTTATGGATTATAAACTTGATGGTCAAACCTGTTGGTATTTCTTCTGTCCGCAATATGGTACCCCAAAACAGCATCGGTATGCCCATCACTTAAAAAGAAAACCGTTGAAGGAAAAAGACTACCACAAGCTACTATCCATGGTTAGTACGTATTTAAACAGTCCGGTACATACGAGCGGCTGACGAAGAAGATCGTACTGTATACATGAGCAACAACATACATGATAATTGGGTATGTATACAGTAACAAAATTAGGTCGACTATTAAACTTTTTTAAGTTGTTGCTCATGTGCGTGTGTTATCTTGCGCGCTTCTGCTTAGATTATGGATATCAATAGCTCATACTTCAGTGCTTTCTCGTTGTTGGATGGATAAAAGCTTATACATACTTTTTTTTGGTACTGTAAGTATTTTACAATAAGCTGTAAGCTGGTTGCATTCATGTCGCTTCCTTGCGGTACGGTTCAGTAGGTAATTTGACGACAATACAACAACAAAAGAAATACTAAACATGATTGTAGTTAGGATAAATGATGGAAACAGAAAGCGGGAAAGAATCTGTGACGTTTGAACAGATGCAGAGAATGGCACTCACACTAGAAGCGTTCGAAATGGTCGTTGAATAGATACGTAGCCGATATTGGGCATATTACAACCGCTTCAAGGTTCCGCTCTCGTAAGGCGCATAAAACAAAAAATTTATTTTTGAAGTTATTATCATCCTCAAGTGACCATCCTCCTCAAATGGATACGGCAGCACTATTTTATCAAGGTGGTACAAAAGTGCGTGGCTAATATGTCTATGATATATTTATGTAAGCGAACTGAACATTAGGGTGTCGGCCCGGAATGTGTATATGTGGAGTACGCAAACTTGATATTAGCGCTTGGTGCTTCGCTGATATCTTACTGTAGCGGATGCAGCTTTTGCCGGCATTAAATCCTCTGAGCAGATGTGCGTTTGTACAATAGCTCCTTTTAACCATACTTACGACTCTTCAAACCCTGGTCAACGAGTATCTAGCAATTTCTGCTCCTCGAACAAAAAACAGCAATCAGAATCCCCAATTGATTAAAGTGGCAATCTGCAGAAACCATACTATAACTACTTACTGCTACTCTTCTTATCTCATCGTCTTGCGAAAAGTAGGAGCTTGCATATAGATTGTGTATGCAACTGCTAGAAGAGAATGTGCTTTTAAATATATATCGTTTAATTAGCATATGCTGTTTATACAAGAATGGGTAAATATGAGAAATAATAAAACAGAGCAATCTGCGGTTGAAGAGCCAGTTTAGAGAGAGATTACTGTAATCAACACCAACCGAATTGCTCCTATCAAGGACATCAGCACTATGGAGATAATAAATACAACGATAATATGAGTCGATTGCGAACTGACGCTTATTAATCTATTATGTAATATATCATCACATTTACGATAGTGCAACATGGTTGTGGCTGGTGACAAACAAATGTCTTAATTGGCGCCAAATTTGAACACAAGTACGTAGATCCTATAGCATTATTATTATCGTTTATTAAATAGTTGTAGCACGTGATGGTATTGAATGTGTATAGTACTGTCATTATAAGATCACCCATCACTACAGGGGAATTAATTTCGTGATCTAACTTGTCGCCGAATAAAGCAAAGCCAATACAGTTCCATCAAAAAATAGTTTCAGGGTTAGTGTTAATGAATATCATAACGTTATTGCTAATTAGTGTGCATTCTCGTGCAACCATCAGATGATTGTACAACGCAATGTTCCAGATGCTTGCAATTCTTTTGTGTGTAACAGCTTTTTCTTGGTTCGCCTTGACCTCCTACTATTCTCTTTTGCACTTCATATTATTGATAGATCTCAATAATGGTAAGCATCAGCACGGGAACAAGGAAGCTGGAGATTGGAATTAATTTTCGGCGAACAATCGTTGTAGATACCACTGTCTCGAGTAGATAGCGATGACCGACCGGCTGGACTCAAACTAGCTCGCAACAACACTGGCTATGCTTATTCTTCGACAACGAACACTACGGCTACACATACTGAAAATGCAGCGGGCGGATCATTATTTGACGATGATCTACAATGGCTGGACCAACGCTCGCGTGCATCTATGGAGAGCAGTTCCCGACGAATAGAGTCGGGACGATTTCAGCATCCGTCGGTACCTGCACGATCACCGTTTCGTATTCGAGATTCGCAAACTTCGGTGGCTAGCAGAGCACCTTCTACTACTGTGACAAAGCCTTTTCAGAGTAGTAAGTATACATACAGTCGTTATGTTGATTAAAGTGATTTTAGCAGAACTCTGTAAATCTGATTATTATCTTTTTAAAAGCAAAATGGTCCCCAACGTTTGAATCAGAAGAACCCAGGAACGTTATAGATAACCGCGCAAGTCTGTCAGTCGAAGTGGCACGCATGTGGAAGCGGCAACCGGCAGTAGGAGCGAGCAATGATCAGGACAAAGGTCGTAAAGATGATAAATCAAAGGAAGAAGGGATGGACGGCTTATTAGGACAACTGCTTGTATCGCAAGCTCTGGTGGATGCGGAGCTATATAATACTTTGACTTTTGAGCAACTAAGCGAATTGAAACAGGTAAATTCCACTGCTGTTTAAGCACAGTTCAAGCACGTGGATTACTAAGATGCGACCATCATAGCAACGGAACGAATTGAAAGAGCGGATTGCGTCGTTAGAGATGCGATGGGCCGTGGATAAGCAAGTGCAAGATGTATCGCGATCCCTAGTTCAGCTGGACCGGGAGCATAAGAATGACACGCCATCCAGTCGAGCAGCATCTGAGCTGATCGAACTACTAAACGAGGAAGCAGTTATCCGGCAAAAGATTTTGGAGCACACTGCAGGTGCTTTGAAACTTGGCTTTGAAAGCTACAAAGAAGACGAGCATCAGCAACAGAAGCTGGAACAACAGCAAAAGCCAGTGGAGAACAGCGGCAGGCTTAGAGAAGCAGAACAAGAGATCGAATCGTTAAAGGCACAGATGAAACAAATGACAGCCGCCAATAGCCGGGAAACGAACCAGGAAATTGAATCCTTGAAGGCTCAGATCAAACAGATGACAACTGCGAATGCACATGAAACGGATCGTGAAGTCGAGCGGCTCAAGGCACAGATCCAGCAGATGGCAGCAACAAATAGCAGAGAAACGAATCAGGAAGTTGACCGGCTGAATGCACGGATCAAGCAAATGACTGCGGCCATGGTTTCATTCGGGGAGCGACAGGATCTTCACGAAATATCAGATAGAAGCGACGAGCAACAGTGGATATCGGCTGTGGAAAGTCAGTTTAGCAACTACAAGCTGAAGATGCGACGCTTGGAGCGTGAGCTCGAGTCCAACGAGGAAAAGTTGCGCCTCGAATCCGTGACGGCCAAAAAAATCGAAACGCAGTTGCGGATCATGCAGGATAAACGCGATGCCGCGGAAACAAAGTACCGGGACATGGAGAAGAAATATTTGGATCGTGAACTAAATATCGATTCATAGTAAGTTTACTTCCTATTTTATTCTTCTATCACACCATTTTATGACATATTCCCTCCGATAGTGAACCTAATTTACGTACAACTACGGTCTCTTGTGTTGCACTGAGCACCTAAAGACAATAAGGAAAGACTAACACTTGATTACACTTAGCAACAACACCAGCGCAACTACCCGGGAACTCGAAAATGAGCTATCCAAGGTCAAGTATGAGCTGGAAATGGCACAAGATCAGGTAGCAGGATTACAAGCATCACTGGCTGAAATGGAAGTGCGATGTACAAGAGCTGAATCCGAGGCAGCAGCTTCCGCTTCTCGGGAAATTGCCGCGGATGCTAGGTTGGAACAATACCAAGCCGAAGCATCGGCTTTGCGTGCGGAGAAGCAGCGTTGGGAGCGAGCTCTCAAGCGAGAATCAGTCTTGCAAATGATGGAAGGTGGTAGCGACAGCTTCAAGGCCAAATACGAACAGCAGCTGGAAGAAATGCGACAAGAGTACGAGGCAGAGTTGCAGGAGCAGCGTGCACTGCTTGCCAAGACCACACGGGCACAGCAACATGTTGAGGCGGACCGCGACAAGATGTCGTCTGTCTGTAAGGATTTAGAAGATCTGATTCGGGACAAGTCCCGTACCATCGATGCACGTGATATTCGCATCAATCAAATCGAAGACGAACTCAAGCAGCTCCGACAACAAGGCAGATCGATGCTCAACAACGAGGAACTGAGCAAGGCACAAAAGGCGTTTACGGAGCGAGAAGAAGCGTGGCTGGCGCAGAGTGCATCTATGGAGACCAACTTTGAAGGCATTATGAAGGAGTTCGAGCGTCTGACTATGTCCGCCATGGAGTTCGAGACGGATCGTATGAAGTATGAGCAGCGGATCGAACAGCACTCACGTGATATCGAGCGATTGGAAGCCGAATTGACGGAAGAAAAGATCAATAAGCTGGGTTACGACGCCAAGGAAGGGCCGACGACAGCGTCGCTACGCAAGGAGTTCCGTCAACTAGTGAATGACATGAAATCCAAGCAGCAAAAGATGCTTGATCGCGAGTTGGAGGAGAGAAAGAGACTGGAAGGGCGGCTCAAGGACATGAAGCACGAGCTTGAAAGCAAACGCTATGAGCGAGTAAACCAAAGCGTACAAACGTACTTTGTAGCATAATATAAGAAGCATCGTTGCATCGCCTTCCATATCTATTAGTCATACAGTGTTTTGCATTGAAGAATATGAAAAGTGGAGGGAGGAAATCCAATTTTTGGGTCTGCCAATATAAAATTTCCACAATTCTTGGTATTTGAGTGTACTTTTTGCTCCACCGTTGAAAATTTATTTCAACCAAGAGAGCATTCCAACGAAAGGAGTTCTGCGTTTGAGAAAATAAGAACTGACAGCAGCACCTAATCCAGTTTTTTGATCTCGCCGATATAAATTAATATTGACCAGTACAGCCTTCAGATCATGAATATAATTTCTCAAGCATTAATGCAATTTACTTAGAAGCCAGTGTATAGAAGCAACAGCATATTCAAATTATTATAACAGCTCTATCTTCAGATTTCTTTCACGTCGCGAATAGTTTGCTGGTCACGGGACCCTATAATCCCAAAGTAGAGGACTAACGCGAAGTAAAATTTGTAGGTCCGCAGTAATGCCGCGTTCCCCTTCTACAACTTGCTAGAGTGTTTCAAGTCACGTAGCCAACTCTTTCTTTGTTTAACACTTGCAAGCATCTTGCCTTCAACGTGGGAACACATGTTGGATATGATGGTAAGCATAATTTTTTTTTATTTTACGTTGTGGCTATTTTATTGATCCTTATCTTTTGCAGAATTGCGCAACTACATTGAAAATAACAAGAACCCCTCAATGATCGGTTTTGTCACCAAGAATGCTGACCAGCTTGCATATCTTTCTACATCGACATCAATCACAATGCCCCAGGGATATTTTAATCATTGGAAGAACCAGTTTGTCATGGCAGTGTGTGAATTTCGACCTGACCTGAATATAAGGTGTTTATCTTTAGACATTGGACGGTATATATTTTTCAAAAGCTAATACTTTGTTATTGTTATTATTATTTTTTGTTTGCTGTATCTACAAGACCATCGAAATTCTGCAAGAAAACATGGACAAAGCATCTACAAGAGTTGAAATAATTGGTAAATTTTGCATATTTATTCATCTAATATCCACTACATTACACTTCAACATATTGATTTTTTTTTACTCACTCTCACTTTCATGCTTCTATAGCGAGATACTTTACAAAGCTCCCACGTACAAGGACTAAAAGCTATCCAAAGTGCCTCGAAACAAGCTGGAAAACGAGTATGCAGAATCCTTGATTCAGAAAGCGGATATAATAGTGGAGAGGTGGATAATGGCAAAGAAGACGAAGACGAAAAGCATACATCAACATATAACGAATTGGATGATGTGGATAAGTTGATCAAGCCGTTTCTACGTTATGTAAGAAAAAAAATACTAGGGTACTTGTGTATCAAGCCTTTGAAACACTTATGTGCTTAATTAATCAAATTTATTTTATGATAAATTAAACTTTAGGTATTAATCTCTTCTATACTAAATTTGATTGTTTAAATTAAATTAGACAATCTTATCTATTTAAAAACTTCAAAGATTTACTCTTAGATTTTTTAGTTTTGTCGGGGCTTAAAGTTTTGGTATTACGTCCTGAACCATTTTGTTTTTATAAATTTAAAAAAACCTTAATATACCTTAATTTGCCTGTTTTAGGTTTTTTCCACATTTTAGGTTTTTAAGGTATACTAGCAGTCCTTCCTCGCTTCGCTCGGATGAATGAGCCCCTCCGCTTCGCTCTGTGTCATTCAACGGAAACGCGTTGCAAGGGGGTTCCCCCCTTGACCCCCAAGTGGGGGGCAAGCCCCCCAAACCCCCCTGTCAACCGAGGTTGGATCAATGTTTTGGTATTAGATGCTTATTATCTGTTTTCCAAATCAAAAGCAAGATCATTGTGCAGTGAGAAGTAGCCTATCATAGAAAGTCGTCAAAGTTGGATACTTAACTATCTCCAGTTTAGAATGCAATGCGAAAAGAAGTGTTGACAAAGATGATGTAGTGATATTGATAAAAAGAGAATAGGCGTGAAAAAAAGAGAATAGGTGATAATAAAGAGGATAGAAGATAAAAAAGAGGATGGAAGATAAAAAAGAGGATGGAAGATAAAAAAGAGGATGGAAGATAAAAAAGAGGATGGAAGATAAAAAAGAGGATGGAAGATAAAAAAGAGGATGGAAGATAAAAAAGAGGATAGAAGATAAAGAGAATTAGAGAAGGACTTAATGGAAAACAGCATTTCGGGTGTTTTGGCCTTGCTGACCCGCGATACTTGAGTTCTCGGGATCTAACATGATTGTAATAGATGATGGGGTGCGGACGCGTGACATGGCTACATAGAGTAGACCATGTGTGAAAGGAGGTTCAGGTAAGTAGAGGCCAACAGTGTTAAAAGTTTGACCCTGTGCCTTATTGATGGTCATTGCAAATGCCAGGCGAACAGGGAATTGTGTGCGTTTAAATAGAATGGGGGAACGTGTTTGTGAAGGTGTGAGAGTTATGCGAGGGATCAAGACGATGTTACCGGCATGAGGCCCAGTGGCTATTTCAGCTTCAAATACATATCGCTGGAAAGAGCGTACAATCAGCCGTGTCCCATTGCAGAGACCACTTTGGGTGTGCAAGTTTCTCAAAAGCATGACTGGGCAACCGACTTTGAGTTTTAGCAAATGCGGAGGGAGGTCGGATGGATTCATGGAATTGAGCAGCTCTGGTGGGTACGTTATTTGCTCTTCAGGATCATCCATGGTATCTGCGCTCTGGAATTCGTGAACAGTGCCTGGGAAATGGTCGAGTACCAAATTATCAATTGCTGTAACATAGACATTCTTTGGAGTCAAGATAGAGCGACTGATGAGGTAATCGCGATCCACGTGTGATGCGTTCAGGTCGCCGTAAATGGCTTCTATAAGCTCGTACGTGTTGTAATGTGGCATGAGCATCCGATCTGGTAGCCGGACTCTGTCATCAGTGGTTGGCACCTACAGCTCAGCACCATCACCGATGCAAAGTAAATACTGCATAAACTGGCCATGCTCGTTTGTGTCATTGGTGTTGGCAGGTTGTTGGACGCGCATGTTGGTTTCAAGGCGGTGGACGGTGACACTGGGTCAAATTGATGAACGATTTAGATACTACTGTACGATTTGCGAGCGCGATGCATTTGGTATGATATCATAGGAAGGACCTATCAACAGGTTTGATGCAGATACTTTGATGTAAGTACTACCGCTCGATAGTAAAAGGATGCAAAGTAGAAGAGAGGATACAATGTTGTATACCTGGCGAAAGGCAACACCAAAGACCATGATTTCTTATCAAATGGAACATCGGCAAGTGCGGGATCGTCATGTCTCATGGGATCTTGGATACTCCTGTATACATAGTGTAGTGAATACGTTGATACTTGTATTGATACTTGTATTTAGCGTGTTTGAAGCGACCAGACTTCTCGGACGATAAAGAATAGAAGTGAGCTTTATATCGTGTTAGTGACGGTTATCCCCTTGAGTCTTTCCTCAATGCGATACCCGTCTACTCACAATGACATACATTCACTGTAAAGCAAAGTTTCTGACCTGGAGGAGCCACACACCTCGGCGCGTCATAACCATGAGAGAGCAATCTGATTGGATAGAATGAACTGGCTCAAATGCCGCGTAGCATATGTGTTCATTCTACTATGTAACCGCGCATCCGCAGCAATCATGCCACTCTTCTTCCTCTTCGTCAACTTTTCTAAACCAAAGCTATTCAAGGTGAGTGTCATTGGAACGGATTAGAGGATCGGAGAGTGTATGTTTATGGTGGTGAGTGAGAAGAGTGTATGCAACCGGTTGTGAGTATACAGTGATTTCTTTAAGATCCGTTTATCTCACTTTCTTTCTTTTTTGACACAGACTTTCTTTCGTCTTAACCTGGTCCTTCTCCACTCAAAGCACAAATGCAAGAGTAAGTACAGTACAATATGGAAAGTGTGAAGTGTACTTTGAGGTTTTGCATGTGGATGTGATATACGAAAGAAGATATGAATTTCGACGTGTCTAAAGAAGTGTGTGTACAGCATACAGTCGCTAATGTTATCCTCCTTTCTTCTCTGCTACTACTATAGGATTCTGACTTTTTGAAATGGTTGGTTCGGTTTGTTGTTTGCATCCCACCCTTAAACATAAGCAACAACTGTAAGTACGGTAGGGAATGAAATGTGAGGATGAGTTGGAGAGAAGTCGAGTGTCTGTTGGAGGTGCTGATGCCATGACGTGTCAGGAATAGTTGCCTATTAAGAACAGCCTGCTCATGATCTTTCTTCTTTTCATTCTACTTCAGGTTTCGCTTTATGCTGGTTGGGTTAATTGTGTCCTGCGGACAAATAACAGATAGTAAGTATAAGCAAAAGGGGACTTGAACATTGGTATGATAGGTGAGTAGGATGACATGGGTGTTGGGGATGACGCGTCAAAGGTGTGCAGTGTGTACAGCAGCGTGACGGGAAAGGGCTCCTGACCATGACGTATGCAATATGGCAGTCTCTCAAAAAAGTTTTCTTCCTCTCCTCCCCTTTCTTTTTTCAGAATTGGTCATCCCCTTCTTGCTTTTCCTCTCTCTAACTCAAGGCTCTCTTCCTCCAAGCCAAGGATGTCATAATAGTAAGTATCGCTGTGCTTGTGTTTGTCTTTGCGTGTTTGAAGAACCAGGAAGATGTCTGCCGTGACATGTCAAAAAGTGTATGCAGCTGCTCATAGATGTTTTCTTTTTTCTAATAGAGGATGGCTCTGCGGTGATCTGTTTGGACTTGGATTGGCTTAGACCCCATCTCTCTCTGTCTATAACTTTGCTGTAAAACGACAAAACAAATGTAATTATAGCTGGATCCAGCTTGGGATGGAGGAGGATGGGCATGCCGTGTCAAAAAATAAAGATAGCACAGTGTGTGAAACCCTCTAATGATCTTTTTCTTCAGCTAGAAGAAGTGTTTCTGTCTTGGCTGTGATTCTCTGCTCTACACTGGCTGGGTGTTCGGTTCTCCTGTGTCTCATCGTAGAAGTATAGGTAAGTATAGCACGATAGAATCTTGTATGTGTGTGGTTTAACAGTTTCCCATTAACTGTTCATCTCTTTCGTTTCTCGGAATGGCGATAGTGCAC